CACCTATGGATGCAGAGACGATGGAAATAGCACAGCTTCATTAAATAAAATGTTGACGTTTCAATAAGAGACGAAAGCAAGTCATAAAACCCTTTTAGCACTCTCTCACGACTGGAAGGATACATAGAATGGTGATAAGTCATATACATTTTATTTTCTTTACATTGCCTGGTATGTTTAAATGAATTGTTTTAGAATAAGAAAAAATTCCTAACACTAAAGTACATGGAGCATGGAGTCTCTGTCAACTTTACTTGTGATGAATTAATATCTAGAATACATAAAAAACTTTTTAAATCAAATACCAACATCCCCAGTCAGCCGATCAATGGGCAAATAAACTGAACAGACAGTTCTCAAAAATAATTACAAATAGTTGCACTAACACTTAATTTAAAAAAATTACTAATGGCCAACTGTTCAACATTCTTAACAATCAGAGAAATACAAATTAAAAGACTATGATGAGATTGCATTTCACCCGCTCAGACTGGCTATCATTAAGACAACAAATGCCATTGAAAATGTGGGGGAAGAGGAACATGACACGCTGTGGGTAGGATGTATTAAGTGCAGTCGCTATGGAAATAAGTATGGTGTTTCCTCAGCGAAAACAACTACCTAACTATACTCCTCATGGGGAGACACCCAGAGGAATCTAAACACACAGCAGAGAGACCTGCGAATTACAGCGGAGCCAGTCACCACAGCCAGACAGGCCCATCAGCAGACACACAATGGCATTTTACTCATCCACACAAAATGTACCTGTGTCATCATCTGCAGGAAAATGGATGGAGCAGGAGAACATGATGTTAAAACAAAATCAAAGCTGGGTGTGGCACACACTTGTAATTCTAGTACTTATTAAGCCAGGAGGATTGCTTCAAACTCAAGGCCAGTCTGGGCTACAAAACCAAACCAAACCAAAGCCATAAAGAGCTTCCAAGATGGAAGGGATGGCTCAGTGGTTAAAAACTGTTGCAGAGAACCCTAGCTGGTCCTGAATACCCACATCGGGTGGCTCAGAACTGCCTGTAACTCCAGCTCCAAAGGAATCTAACCTCTTGGGCCTCTGAAGGCATCTGCACTTTATGTATACACACACAAATTAAATAAATGTATTTTTTCTTAAAAAAAATCTTTCCACAAACACCGTTTTCTCACTCAGTGTAGCCTTTATTCAAAGCACACACACACACACACACACACACACACACACACAGAGCAACTATCAGTGAAGAGGAAAGAAACCAGAAGGGGAGCAGAGGGCCATGGGAGATAAATATATATGATGAAAATGTTATAACAAAACCCATCATTTCCTAACACAAATAAACTAGTAATAAAAGGAATGAAGTGTTGCCTTGTTTGACAAAGTGAACGTTGAACTCATGCTAAGTCAGATAAGCCAGATACAAAAGATCACAATTCTATTTATGTAAAACATCCAGAATGGGTTACCCTATAACAAGACAAAGATTGGTGATTCCTATGGGCAGGGGGAAAGGGGAGTGGAGGAGGAGCAACTGCTTAATGGCACAGTCTGCTTTCAAGTAGAAAAATATTCTAGAACCAGGGGAAGTGAAAGTTGTCCAATATTATACTACTGAAATGTACACTTAGAATGCTAAAATTTAACACATCAACTTCATTTTACAAGATGCTGTTTACAGATGCACAAGTCTTACATACACAACTCAGTAGGTTTTAGCAAGCACGCCATCCACAAAACCAAAACCCATGTTGTAGGTAGCATTGTTATCAACCCACAAGGTTCCTTCTTTACCATTGTTATAAAGGTAACCACTGCTGCTTTCAGCATCCACGGCTGAGTTCCCCTCCAAATTTCAGTTACCTGTATATATTATGTCTTCCTATGTCTGGCTTCTCTCAATGCTTTGGGTCACAGGTAGATATCCTGTCTTTATAAATTACTTCAAGGATTTAATTGTGATCAACATCTTATGCTCACACAAGTCACATATGTAAGTTGCAATGGCTTTACCCATTCCAATTGGTCACAGCCCTACCTTTCAATCTTAGCTGTACTCCTGTTACTTCCTTGTGACCACGGTTTTAATGTCTATACCTCATGAAATGGGAGTGTGTGTGTGTGTGTGTGTGAGTATGCGCATGTGTGCTGTTTTTTAACCAGCTTTGGGCCAAGGAGTATGGCTCAGCAGTACAGCCCTTGTCTAGCACTGTTTGAGACCTTGGGTTGGATATGCAGCACTGAAAAATAAGGAAAAAAAAATTTTAAAGGAAAGAATATCAACTTTATTTACTTAACATATATACTCATTTCAACTGTACAATTTTGATGTCTGCCAACTATATAAAGTTATGACAACCACAATTAAGACAAAGAATATTCCAATGTAGCTCTTTCCATCCCCCAAGCCCTCAGTCATATACAGGCAATCCCCAGGCAAGCCCTGCTTTCCATGATGCTCATCTCCTTTTCTAGAATGGAATCAGGAAGCATACACACTTGTTTCTGACTTCTTTCATGTATCCCAGTTTTTCCTCTTATGTCTAAACTGTATATATTGAACAGATGTGCTCACCTATTCTTTTCTGGCCACATGAGATGTTCTAGAACCAAGCTGGCAATCAATGAACCTGTGCATCCTTGCCGACAATACAGGCATTTCTACTGATGACTGCATTTCCGGGCAGGGGCATTTCAGTATTTGAGCCTATTAGTGCAAGTTTTACTTGTGCCCCTGGCAGCTGATAGGGCTCTCAACTTTCAAGCTAATTATCTTGGTCAAATCCACAGCTCTCATCTCCCATGGACAGAATCAAAGCGAGTTCTTCAGTCCATGTGGGGGTTGGTTCTAGGACCTCCCAGTATTCAAAGCACATACGTTTCAATCCCTTAGGAAAATGGAGAACCATTTGCCACATTTAACCTGTGCACATCTCTGGTGGACTTCAAATGGTGCCTAGATTATTATCATACTCAGTACAATGCAAATGTTAAACAGGTGTACTGTTTAGAAGCACTGACAAAACAAACAGGTCGGGCCCTGTCGGACACAGATACCACAGGCCCGAGAACATTTGCTAAGCTGTCACAGATCTGCCCTGAAACCCCTGCTACTGCTGCTGCTACTCCAAGGATATGGCTTGAGGAGCATCGATATTTTAGGAGTTATTTGAAATCTGCACTGTGAGGCATTTTTTCTTTAGATGTCTTACACTCAATCCCCATAACTACATCCAAGAGATTGATATACCTGGTAACTAAACTGAAATTCAGAAGATAGAGAAACATTTCAAATGTTGGCTCCAGTGGTAATAATCCCTGGTATTCCCAATTTCTGCACATCTGCTGGCTAAGGCACAAATGGGTCTTAGAATGCCACATTGCTGCCGACCCTGCTGTGATCTCTCCATAAGAAATCCACTAAGACCGACCTAAGACCGTTTGCTGCTCCCACTGATCTGAAGCTGATGGAGGGAGGTCAAGTGAGTCCACACAGGTCCCAGGTATTAGAGGAATGTTCAAGGCTAAGTGTTGCTGGAGAGGCTGGATCAAAATCCCAAGTGACAAAATACAGCTCTCTGAAAGTCACTGTTTCCAGGCCCAAAGCAAACACGAGCAGTAATCAGAGAGAACCTTCAGCACTAACAAGAAGCCAACAGGGGATGCTCCCTAGCAGCCTCTCATCACCTTATTCCAGGTGACGAATTCTGATGCAGGACATGGAAACCGCTGTGTGTGGATTAATCTTCAATTCAGTCGTGCTGAACTGCCGCAGACACCACCAAGAATGTTTTTTGGCTATGGTGATGGGAAGTCACCTTCAGCAAAATAGATGCCATCCTGAGAATGGACCTGAAGTGACACCATCCCGACAGCGTTGCTAGATCCACGCAGCAACTCTCTGGTTCCTATTGACTCAGGTCTTCTGTGCTGTTTGTCTTAGACACTTGGTACTCACTCACTCACTCTTATTATTCTTTGCCAATCAAGGGGTGCTTGGGATAACCAAATTACCAATTCATACACATGCTGTAAAGATTAAACCGGCCAAGAGATTCCCATGGGAATAATGAAAATTGTGCTTTGATGAGCACTAGGTGAAGAGCAGCGAGGGTCTAGAAACCATTCTGGCCTCTTCTAGGATAGCTCTGTAGCTGTGCCCCTTCCTTCAAGGAAAAGCTTACTGGTCTGCCTTTGCTTCCAATGTGCTGAGATTAAGGGAATGAGCCACCATGCCATTTCAAGGGGAGATTTTTACATTTCTTGCACAGACTAATTCTCGGTCCTTTTGTTTGCTTAGTTTTTTCACAACCCTGCAGGGTAGGTCTCACATTCACACTACAATGAAAAAGACTGTGTCATTCCTTGACTCGGGAGCATGGGTAAGTTCTTACCTTGGGAAAACAACTGATGCATTCTGATAATTCTGATGTATTTATTCAACTACACTCCCTCAGTTCAACTGAACGATATCCATTGTTAACCAGTCAGTGCTAAAATATGCAGTGAAATAATTTACCAAGATTTCACTCTCTTGAGAATGTAAGGAAGATACAATACAGTGTGTGGCTGGGCACAACAATGCACAGACTATCCTAGCATTTGTGAGGCAAGCCTGGGTCACAAAGTGAGGCCTTTCCTCAGAACACAAAACAGAAACTGCCAGTATACTGCTGTCTCATCAGGAGCTCCCCAAGTCCCTCCCCCTGGTGGGCCCCAGTCTGCTGCAATGCTGGTCCTTCTATGCAGTTGTGGGGTTGGACACTGACTGTTAGTGGGAACCAAGGAAAGTTCACTTTCAAGAAATAAACTGGCTCAATCAGGCCTCTGCCCAGAGACATGCATTAGGCACAATGCGGCTGAGTGGAGGCCTGTTTTCTCTTTGTCACGTGTACATTAGAATACTGTAACCAGGAGGACAAGAGGGTGGTGGCTATTGATATCAGACTTTCCAGAACTCTCCCTCCCACTGTGGACCGATTTTGCAGTCTTTATCATTGAACAGAAAGTACTGAGGACTTTGCTATCCAGCTTTCTTCACAACTGTCAACACAGCCTTAGGACTGACAGTCACTTCTACCTACTCTGTAACCTTGAACCCAGTCATGTATCTCATATCTTTCCAGGTTCTGAGCCAATTGTCCACAGGACTCCAGGACCCATGAAGAAAGAAGTTTCCCTCTTTCCAAAACTCAAAAGAATGAGTATAAGATCAAGGTGAGACTGAGTTGATGGGCTTCCCACCCGGTGTGCAAAGGGCAGACATGGGGCCAATTGGCTTCTTACGTGCTCCACTGCTAGAAGAACTAGAGAGACTGTAGGTCCCGGGAGGAGGAGTGCTAGGCTAAGGAAGACCACAGTTTAGTGAACCTCTTCCCACCGTGGGCTTCCTTGGGCTCTACTTGTCCACAGTGGGGAGAACAGTAGTGCTTCTGGCTCAGAGGCCAGTGTCCTTGGAGAGTTGTATGCACAGTTCAGTCAGTGTTTATTTGGTGCTCAGTGTTTACTGAGTCCAGAAGGGAGGTAGATTTAGCTGAATATTAACTGTCAGAGATGAGAAGTCTGTCCACAAAAATGATTGTGCTAAAACCTGGCTGCCAAGGCACCAAACCCTGCTCAAAGCAATACTGACTAGAAGACTTGCTATGTTGAGAAGAAAACAGCCATTCCACCTGCTCTACAGAATCACAACTAAAATATCTAGGCTCCTTCTCTGGAGCGCTGTGAGAGTTGCAGATGACAGAGGGCCCCTTACTGGGTGGAACCTTAACTGGAGATATGTTATGGAGGTCACCTCAAGACCAGAATGCAGGAAATGGGTGCAGCCTGTCATGGTTTCCCTGCTTGTCTTCGAAGACTGGGAGTTTCTAAAAATGGCTCTTCAAGACAAAGATGTGTAGGGAACAAAAGACCTAAGGAAATCAAGACCTTCAAGGAATCCCTCTCAATCACAGAAGAGACTTCTGTCTGTTTAGCACGTTTTCTCCTCGTGAGCAACACTCAAGCCCTGCACGAGGGCCTCAAATAAATCACACATGGCTCTCAGAGTAGAAACCAAACCCTGCTTTATAAGGCTGCTTGGCCATCACCGGCATCTCTACTGAGATATGAGGCGCCAGGCAGGCAGTGAGGTGACAGAGGGTGAACCTTCCTCACCTTCTCCCCATCACCACCACCCCTCCAGCCCTCCAGATGCCCATATCTACAATAGAACCACTTCAAAAAATACTCTGATGAGGGGCAAAGTGGAGGGGAGAGAGGCTTAGGCTGGTCAGCAGGTCGGTTCCCTTGAGGTAGCTGAGTGCTCCCATGTAGGAGACCAGTCATGGGCTCACAGCAGTCTGGAGGGAGTCACCGGCTGACTGGGAAGCGGAGGAAGCAGAAAGTCTGGAATTCTGCCCAGAGTACTTGAGTACAGGTAACACCTGGGTAGAGTGGGCAGGCTGTTTGCTGATGTCCTCACTGTTCTTTGAGGATGAAGTCTTCCTGGATATGCGGGAAAGGCCAGCTTGACTCTTCTTGGGCTTAGATGTTGTCCCATCTTCAGAGGATGACATGTTTCCCTCAGAGCAGCTTTGCTTTCTGAAGGAAAAAACATTGCTGACACTAAGTCTAACATGTAATTTATGCCCCTCAAGTCCAAGGCAAGCACCCACAATGTTATGGATATATTAGTAGCCATAAAATATATTTTATTACTGTGGCAGTGAGATCTCAAGTGCAAGGGTCAATTGGAGGAAAGGGTAAGAGGCCAGGACTTCCTACAAGGGCATAGCTGAAAAGTGTGCTTCTGCAGTTGGGAAGAAAACAGTGCGGCAGTATATTCTGACACTCCTACCAGTCCCTAGGTGGAGAATCCTTTCACTGTCACAGTCTGGGGAAAGAGGAAAGAAACTCTAGCCCCCCAATTCAATAGGCCTCCCTTGTTGAAGTAGCACTCACCTTGACTTGATGCGTTCTGATTTGCTGCTGGCACTGGGTGTCCCATCACCCTTTGAGGCAGTCGTGAGTGATGTTGGCAGAGACCACTAGGAACAAAGACAGCAATGAGGGCCAGTTGAGTCCAAGAGGGAATGCTCAAGATCTCAGGGTTGTTTTGCTTTGTTCAAGACCAGTTTCTCTGTAGCATTTTGGAGCCTGTTCTGGAAGGCTCTGCAGACCAGGCTGACCTTGAACTCATAAAGATCCACACCTGCCTCTGCTTCCCAAGTGCTGAGATTAAAGGCATGTGGTATCTGTTACCACTGCCCGCCCGGCAGATCTTAGGGTTCTTGTTCAGCTCTGCCACTCTGTAAACACAGGGCTCCACCTGCCCTACCCTATACATCATGAGCTCATAACTCTTAGTTCTCTCCCAAAAGAGATAGAAAGTTAAGGCTACAGCTGACTTTTTTGATCCTTCAAAGACAGGCATCCGGTGCATTTTGCAAATAACTACATCCTTAAAAGGAGTCAAAGGGGTGGGGCCTAAGAGGGAAGAAGCGAGGGGTAGTTACCCACATATCCACAAGCCAACCATAAGGCATTTAGAAGCTTGAGAAGAAGCTACGCTCTACACTGGTACACTCACCAGTGGAGCTGAGTCAGAGACGATCCCCGTGTGGAAGCCTTTGTAGCACCAATTCCGGAGCAGATCTACTCCTAGAACAACATGAGCAGAGGTTGGGACTTAACAGAGAAGAATCAATTGCTTACCTCCTTTCCAAAGAAACCTATTTCTTGGCCTAATGAGATTTAATCTTCTATTAAATATGGCCTCCCATGAGTCAGAAAGGTATATTACCTTTGATCTTGTTTCCATGGTACTTCTGTTCCCACTGGGTGGTGAGAATGTTGAAATATCGTGGCTGCTCAAAAAAACGAAGATAACGAGAAGAGATTCGAGAAGGAAAAATTCTTTCAAATTGACCACGACGAGAAAACTCATCTTCCATCTCAACCAGAACCCGAACATCATCTGGTGTCAAGACATCCAGCACAGATGCATAGAAGTCCTGTGGCCCAAGGAACAGGAAGAAAGGCAATGTGACAGTGTGAGCCAGACACTGAAGCAAGCAGCTGGGGTCGGGAACAGAGCTCTAGGGTGCTAGGGCTCCAGGACTCCCACAGAACTCCCACAGCTGCCTCATCTGAGGTGTGCCAGATCTTCGCCTTATCTCTTCCTAAATCCAATGGGCTGAGCTCCTGGAGGAAGGCACTCTTGGCTAGGGCCAAGGAACCATTTGGGCTGAGGTAAAAGAGTGTGTTGCTGAGTCAAGGCTAGTGCCCAACAACTCAGATACGGCAGCCAATGCCGACCTTTCTCACATCCAGACCCCACATTTACTCGAGATGCTCAGACCTCCTGGGTCTTGCGATGGCTCTTAGGGGAAGAAGTCCATAGGATAAATGTGAGCTAAGATAGCACAGTGCTAAGGGCCTGGTGACAACCATCCACTTTCCTAGAAAGATATAGGTGCCAACAAATCTCTGTGTATCACAAGATCCTACTTCTTGGTAAGAGACTCTGATCTAGACAGGAAAGCTGATATTCCTAGAGTCTTCAATGTTTGACTGAGGGCTGTTGGTAACTGGAGGGAAGATAAATCTCTTACCTGGTCAGGAACTTTCTGGGTCAAGTAATAAGCTTTCTTCATCTTCTGTGCAGTAAAATGCTCTGGAGTCATTTGACATTTGTCCCTAGGAGAGCTTGGCAGGCTAAGACAGGTGGACAAAAAGTAACAGGCAGGTCAGCAGCTTCTTGTGCAAGAAAACACAGAGAAAGGATCCAGTGCAAGACTCCTTCCCAAGCACAGATGAAGACACATGGAGATGCTTGTCCCTTGAATAGATTACTCTAAAGTATACTCCATTCAAAGAGCTTGTCGTCCACAACCAAGTACCACGGGATAACTGGAAAAGGCAGGCACACCAATTTGACAAAAAGAAGCCTGGAGTAAGCCTAACTACAGGATGCTTTAGTTAACACTCACCACAAATCAAGCTCTGCCCTATTGGCTGGGGAACCCTGGGCAAAACACTTTATCTCTGGTACTTCAGTTTCATTATGACTTTTTTAACTTTTTGAGACAGAGACTAACTCTGGAACTCAGGATGGCCAGGAACTCACTATGTAGTCCAAAGCTAGCCTTGAATTCATGTCAATCCTCCTGCCTTCTTATTTATGGGATTATAGACACGGGCCACTACTTGGCTATGGTCACCTTTCCGATAGTCCTTTTCCTAAAGGGGCTTGAAGGAAGTTCCTACGTGATAAAGAAGCAGTCCATGCCAGCCTCTAGGCTCGCTCAGTCCCTGCTCACAAGCCCGACCCCAGCTCACAAGCTCCCTTTCTCCCATTCCCACGTAACCCTAGAAAAAAAACCTCATTTCTCTCGGTTTTCCCTAGGAGAGAGCCTTGGCAGCTCAGAGTAAACTTCCCTTCCACCCAGAGCGGTTTTGTTTACTGAGCCTAATTTTCATTCTTCTGGTGCTGAAACCCCAGGAATGGCATAAATGAGCACCCTTCCAAGGAACTTGGCTACCCCGAACCAAGATGCTGATCTGACTTTCCTAAGGTATGAATACAGATCAATTGTTTCTACTGTCTTTTGCCACCCACCATATTTGGCCTCATTCCAAATTTTGTCTTGGTCTCTCTAGCGGGTTAAGTGTCACCCTGGAGCAGCATGCTTTGTTTACTATTACTACAAAAGGCACACCAGAGTGCCAGGAAGCTCTTCCCCTGCCCGCCCCCCTCGCCTTGGGCTCACTCACAAGGACAAGGGACACCTCTCCTCTGTGTTTTGAAACATTTCTCTTTGACAAATTTCGCATTCTGCTTGGAGACATGCCAGATGGAAATTCTTGTCACAATGACACTTTATCCACCTCAGTTCAGCTAGTGTTCTCTCGCCTTCCTCTAGGAACTGCAATTCTGCCTGGGCTCCCACTGCCTGTTCTGTTCTATCTCTTCCTTTAAGCCCTCCTAGGTAGTTCCCTCCTCGAGCAGAGCTCTCCCCACAGGCAGCACAGCCTGCTTACTCCCGTTACAGAACATTTGTTTACACTGTGAAGATGTATCTTTGCCAAGGCACCTCCTGATTGGTTTAAAAAGGAGCTGAATATCCAAAAGCTAGGCTGGCAGTCCAAAGATAGTTCAACAAGAAAACTTGCTATATATGACGCCCAATGTGGCCATATATATCCAAGAAAAGCCCGAAAAGGCTTTAAAAAAAAAAGTTATCAAACATGGCCTCCTGGCAACCACGGTATCTTGGGTAGGCTCAGCATGCAGAGGCACGGCTCTTCTAAGAGACCTGCTGTGCAGCAGAGTACCTGAGCAGTCAGCCCACTCAGTAAAGATGCCCGCCACATCAGCACATTTCTAGAGCTGGGACAGTAACCAAGGCTCCCACTGACACAAGCTGACATGAGGTCAGGTTCTCACAGAACTAAGGAGGGCAGAGCAAGGCCACCAGAGCTGCAGGTAGCAGCCTAGCCATTTAAGGTTTGTCTCCCAGTCAGAGAAGGCTGCAGATGCACAGTAAAATGGTCCAGAGGCCACCCAGGTCCACAGGATGAATTCCAGGACAGCCAGGGCTGTTACACATAGAAATCCTGTCTTAAAAAACAAAACAAAAACAAAGAAAAGAAAGAGAAATGTCTTAGCTTCAAAATGAAAGTTGGGAAATTTGTTACATTGAAGGAGAGGTTAGAAAACAAAAAAATTATGGTTCTATTCAAAATTAATAAAGATCAGATTGATTGGGAGAGACCTGAAAAATCTTGGCTACAGACATGTTAAAACAAAAACAAAACAGAACTGCCAGGCGGTGGTGGCACATGCCTTTAATCCCAGCTCTTGGGAGGCAGAGACAGGTGGATCTCTGTGAGTTTGAGGTCAGCCTGGTCTACAAGAGCTAGTTCCAGGACTGGCTCTAAAGCTACAGAGAAACCCTATCTCAAAAAACAACAAAATAAAACAAACAAACAAAAAGACTACAGGACAGGCAACATATACACTGAACCCTCTGCTATGGGAACAGCTGAGATTGGAGACCGGATGAAACATAATAAATCTTGTTGGCTACAGAGTCCTTATGCCAGTTTGGTTATACAGTCTAAATGGACTTACAAAGTTTACAGGTGCTTTTTACCTCCTCAAACACAGAACAACAAAAAAAATCATCTTAAGCTGACTTGTGCACAGTGCGCATTCCATTCTTGTATTAATGCAGATAATGTACCTGTAAAAGTTTGTGTTTTCAAAGAAAGGGCCAGACGCAATAAAGACAAGATGATAGCTGAGAAGGTCTAGCCTCACAGACTACCCAGAGAAGACTTACACAGAGAATAAACTAAAAATAATAGAGCTAGTTCTCCCAGGACTTGACCATTATTGCAATTTTCTCAGGGTCCCCTTAAGATGCTGGATCCCCCAGACAACAAAAAGCAGTCTAGAAAACACGACCTCCCATATTCCCAAGAGGTGGGGTGGATGATTTTTGGTTGTTTGGTGAGTTATAGATGTTTGTCATCATCTGGAGGTGGGGAGTTGGTTGTAAATTATCACTGGTCATGGTAAGGGAAGAAACTTAAGCAAGAGAGGTTAGATTCAAGAACTTCTTTCTGTAAAAAAGGGGGGAGATATAGGAATGCTAGGATATAAAGTAGATTATTGAATCTAAACTAAAAGGCAACTATTAATCGCAAATATTTTACATTATTATTGATTTTTATTTGTTGATACAAACTTATTTTTGTTAGAAAATACATGTTTTGGGCTGGAGAGATGGCTCAGAGGTTAAGAGCATTGCCTGCTCTTCCAAAGGTCCTGAGTTCAATTCCCAGCAACCACATGGTGGCTCACAACTATCTGTAATGAGATCTGGTGCCCTCTTCTGGCCTGCAGGCATACATGCAGACAGAACACTGTGTACATAATAGATAAATAAAGATTTATTTGAAAAAAAAAGAAAATACATGTTTCTACTTTTGCTTAAGATAATTCTGTATATTGGTATAAATTTTATTTTCATTATGTGTGTGTGCTTCAATTTTTTAAAAAAGATTTACTTTTTATGTATACAGTGTTCTTCCCTCATGTATGCCTGTAAGTCAGAAGAGGGCACCAGATCTCATTGTTTATGGTAGTGAGCTACCATGTGGTTGCTGGGAATTAACTCAGAACCTCTGAAAGAGCAGCCAATGCTCTTAACCTCTGAGCCATCTGTTCATCCCCTACATGTTTCTACTTTTGTTTTGTTTAAGGTATTGTACCTATGCAACTCATTTAACAATGTAATGTAAATTTCTAGTCCTTGAAATTTATCATAATAAACTATTCAGGGTAAAGTAACAATCAAATTTGTGACCATGTTAAGTATATTTTCAAGGTCAAACAGATATTATTTTTATATAGACAGATGGTCTTCAAACACTTCAGAGACTTACATAATATGGCATTTAAGATGTTTTAAAACCCTAAGGCTTTTCATGATAGTATGACACATCTGCTCCTGGTAGCATCAATTTACTTAAAAAAAAAAAAAGATGATGGACATCAAAGAACCTCCATATAGAGTTTGCTTTTATTGTGGCAAAGTTGGCCACTGGGCAAGAAAATGCCCTTGCCTTGACAGCTGACAGTATGCTGTCCAAATTGGACATGCAGGACAAAAAAAGTGACTGCTGAACTTTAACAAGACAAAACTTTCTTGTTTCACAAAAAGTCTGTCAGAGGGCTAGTGGATGGCTCAGAGGTTAAGAGCACTGGGCTGCTCTTCCAGAGGTCCTGAGTTCAATTCCCACCAACCACGTGGTGGCTCACAACCAATTATGATGAGAAGTTGCACTTTTCTGGTGTATACTCAAACAAGCAGGCAGAACACTGTACACATAATAAATAAATCTTAAAGTCAGATATTCTAGATCTATAGGCCCCAACATTGCAAAGGAACCTTGGGTGACTGTCTAGGCAATCAGCTGTTTCACTTCTATAGTCTGGAAGTTATTTGTTCTGTACTTCCTATTACTCAGGTAATAAATACATCCTTCTAAAGTGTCGGATGGCATTAAAAACTAGATAGAAACTCATAAAAAAGGCATAAAGTATATTAAGGTTGAGAAACAAAAACTTGTTTAGCTAAGAAAAGGGTTTATTTTGTTGTTTTGTTATTTTGTTTTGTTTTGAAGACCAGGCTTCTCTGTGTAATAGCCCTAGTTGTCCTGGAATTAGCTCTGTAGACCAGGCTGGCTAAGAAAAGGTTCTAAGGTCTAAAAAGATACTTTTAGGATAGTAATACAAGTTATGATAGCAAATGGTTTAGGTATAAGACTTTGAACTCACTAAGGTAGGATACATAATACAATACTTTCTCTGAATTTGCCAAATACAATGGACAGGACATTGTGAATGTAATTCTTACCTGATACTTATCCTTATTGTATATAGTTAAACCCTTCCCTTTTTATTTAGACTGTAAGACTTTAAGACAATTCTGAAGCCATTTCTGACAATTCTGAACCCTCTCAACCTTCGTGCCTCAGTGCTTCCCCTCCTCCCCTGGGAACCAAGGACCTAACAGCTACACATGCACGTACTCAGTTCCTGAACAATTACCCATACACGTATGTTTTGACTCAGTCCCCTGGGAAACAGGGTCAAAATGACCTCTTACCTCATCTGATCTGACAATAGCTCTCCAGCCAATTATTGGTATTAACCCTTTTCGAATAAGCCAATCATAATGGTCAAAGAACAACCCCCCTTGTTTCTATGGCCTTCTCCTTTAAAAGTAGACTGTACCAGCTATTCGAGGTCTCTCAGCTTCCCAAATGCTGAGGGATCCTGTCATGACAGAATTAATAAAATCCTCATGCTTTTGCATTGGCTGTGGTATGTGAAGTGGTGTCTGGGGGCGACTCTTTCTTGGTGTTTGGACACTAGAGTCCAACAAGACAAGACTTGATAACTGTTCTTATTGTATATAATTTAACTGTGTTAGAGTTAAATCTTATCCTTTTTATTTAGACAAAAAGGGGGAAATGTTGTGGAACATTTGTTTATAATGTGAAGATGTGTCTTTGCCAAGGTGCCCTCTGATTGGTTTAAAAAGGAGCTGAATGGCCAGAAGGTGGTGGCACACACCTTTAATCCCAACACTTGTGAGGTAGTGACAGGTGGATCTGTTTGAGTTTGAGGCCAGCCTGGTCTACAAGAGTTAGTTCCAGGACAGGTCCCAAAGCTACACAGAAACCCTATCTTGAAAAACCAAAAAAAGAGATGAATGTCCAATAGCTAGGCAGGAAGAGGTAAGGTGGACTTCCAGGGCATTGAGAAGTCTGGGAAGAAGAAAGGTGAAGTCAGGGAGAGTAGACAGGAAGTGAAAGATGGAAGACTTAAAAAAATGTGTTAATTTAAATTATGGTTGAGGCTGGGTAGTGGTGCCGCACGCCTTTAATCCCACCACTCAGGAGGCAGAGGCAGGTGAATCTCTGTGAGTTCGAGGCCAACCTGGTCTACAAGAGCTAGTTCCAGGGCAGGCTCCAAAGCTACAGAGGAACCCTGTCTCAAAAGACAAACAAAACAAAACAAAACAAAACAAAACACGACCTAGTTGAGATGAGCCTAAACTAAAGGTCAAACTTTCATAACTAATGGTAAGTCTCTCTCTGGGGGTCCAAAGAACGCTTGCTACACTCCCCTCCTGTGGAATATCATTTTATACCCACCCCCAGCTCATCTTGGCCTCAATACAGATCAATGGCCAAAGATTGTATACTTGCTTTTCATATGGCAACAACATTTGCTACCGCACAAGTGATCCCCAAATCACTTATATCTAAACTTGCTCTGCTCTACACTTCCAAGTCTCTTATCTTTAAGGTTTTTCTACTTCCCAGCTAAAAATCTTTATTTCTATGATTTCTCTATGTTCTGCTCTCAAAAAAATTTTAAGACTGCTGTAAACTCTCAAGATTTTTAAGTTCATTGGTCAGGGCTAAAAAAAAAAAAAGATAAAAATCTTTATCCAAATTTGGCTTAAAACATAAAGGCTTATAGGCTTATAGCTAAAAAAAAAAATCTTACGTGGGTAATCTTAATTTCCTACAATTTATTACACATGTAACTTGGATTCAACTCTTGTTTAAAAACATGGACCTACCAAAACAATAACAACAAAAAACGGTATTTTAAATAGTAACTACATGTTTGGCAGCCATCTTTACTAAGGTTAAAGGATAGATGCCACATGACTTCACCATTTTAAGATGACTACTAAGGCAACACCTATAGAACCTCTTAGTCCTACTGAGCCTTTGGTTTATCACTGTATCTCCTTTTAGACTAAGGAAGCAACAGCAAGTCTCTAAAATATTTTGAATTAGTACGAATTTTTGTACGACTAGAAATTACTATAGTTATAAAAGTATACTCAAGGGCTGGAGAGATGGCTCAGTGGTTAAGAGCATTGCCTGCTCTTCCAGAGGTCCTGAGTTCAATTCCCGGCAACCACATGGTGGCTCACAACCATCTGTAATGAGGTCTGGTGCCCTCTTCTGGTCTGCAGACATACACACATAAAGAATAGTGTATACATAATAAATAAATATTTTAAAAAAAAGTATACTCAAGTTAACATGACTTAGAAATATAAGTCTAACCCCTTATGTCTGCTAACTCTGTTCAACCTCAGACTTCTAAATAAATAAGGAACAACATAGGTATGTTTGATAAATAAGGCTTATAAATTCCTATCGTCTACTCAAGTTCTCAGTAATATATGTTTAACCTCTTTGTCTTTGTTAACTTTGTTAAGCTTCAAATATTTGGATAAACTGAGTCATACAAGAAACTATGATATTCTATAATGGTTTACAATAAAAGGCTAACTTGTAAAGATTATATAATTCATTTAGTGACACACTTTATTTAGCCTGCTGTATATGTTTAAAGCAAGTAACTTAAAACAAGTTTGTTTAAATTAGGTATACTTAATAGATGATGGTCCTCAAACTCTTCAGAGATCTACTGAATATGGCATTTTAAATTTTCAATAAAATAACTTCCCAAGATAAGATATAAACACCAGCTACTAGTAGGAACCCTGAGATATCCAAGACAGATAGGGCATGACTCCACTTGATTTGTGGCAACACTAATCTCTGGGCACAACTTCTCCACGCCTCACTTGCCACCAGAGTATGGACACTGCTGGGCTGACTGCTCTACTCAAAGTAGCGTCGGTCCCACAAGTTCGGCTACAGAAAAATCTCTCAGACCTGGGTTTGGTAGCGAAAGGCTGATGCTACTCTATTTTGTAGCTGAAGATTTAATGCTGTCCTGTATGGAAGTCAAAAGCAGACCACTGCCCCAAAATGAAGCCACTGGAACCTAGGGCAACCTTCTAGGTAGTCGATAAGTTTCTATCACTTTAACTGATATGTAGGCCATTTGGATTATATTTCCTGCTATAATTTATGCCTCTCAGATCTCTGGAATATTGACTGACTAACTGTATTTTTAACAGCAAGCTTCTTCCCCAAGGCTACAGCTTCTCCTCATATGTACAACTCAGGTCTCAGGCCTGGCTTTCCTAGAGTTACTAGGTCTCCAGCTGAGGAGGACAGATGACCTTGATCCCAGACTCGGAAAGGAATAAACTCACAAGTGCTTATAACACAAAATCATTTTTGTTTCCAAAGTTTTTACTTGACTCAAAGCCATGAGTCTATCTATAGCTTTCTCTCCAAAGTGGATTTCTCTACAGATAATGATCAGTGGTAGATAACGCTAACACACATAAAACTTTTCTTTTTGTAAACTTAAAATGTTCTTGTAAGCTTCAGGAAGTCCACTTGGATCTACCTCTCATAGGTCAGACAGAGAGAACTGACTCCCTTGTGGCACATGGAATAACTCAGATAACTGCAGAACAGGGCCAAGTACACCTCCAGAAATACACGGTGGGTAAAGTAGGTCAGTCACCAAGAATATCACCATTTTTTTATTTTTTGTGTTTTAAGTTTCACAAACTAATCTCTAACATGCATACGCTACCCTGCCCTGCACCTCCTGCTGGGATCACAGGTGGGAAATAGCTGCTGGAAGTCAGCACTCTACCCCCTCACTCTCTTGGGCTGAATGGCCCTGGATTGATTACTGCTATAGGATCTTCAGTGTCCTTATCTATAAACTACAATACTAATATGAGCCCTACAGAGTTGAGTAGACATACTGTATTTCCTTAACTATCCCAGGTACTTACTAAATATTAGTTTCCTCTCCTCAAGAATAGTTTCAAAGCTTTGGAGGTATGAAGGAAAAACTCCAAATTGAGGTACTTCATAAAGACATCTAGAACTAGGCTTTGATGGATAGGCAATCTGGATGAGGGGCATCTTTAGAATCTCAATCCTTGAGGATCTGCCAAGGCACCAGAATCAGGCAGAATAGAAACAAACACCCAGGAAAAGTAGCTGGAGCCTCCAATGTCCGAGTAAGGAGGTTGGATTTGATCTTTGGTCCCCGTGGAGATTTCTGAATAGAAGTAAAGTAATCAGACTTACTTTCAGTGTACTGATGTGGCAGTGGTGTGTGGATGGACAGCAGAGGAAGTTTGAGTCATAAAGACCAAGCAGGAGAGAGGTTCCCAAACACATTCCCTTCCCAAATCACAATGGGCTGCTCATGCTGCCATCCCAACCTAGGGAAGCTGAGAGGCAGACCTTGTGCTAGAGCCGCTGGAGCTGCTGGGGCTGCTGGAACTGGAGAGGATATCCTCCATGTTGGGCAGAACAAAGCCTGCCAGGTTCAGTAGATCTCGGATCATCTGGCCTTTGATGCTGATGTCCAGGGGAGAATTGGAGTGGAGGCTGCAGGGGTAGAATGCAAAACAGGGTCAAAGCAGCATTCCAGAAAGATTCTGGGTCCTTCATCCAAATGAGGGCTTCTTAAAATACCCACACGTGTGAGCATCTTCAACAAATATGCTCAGCTGGGAGATGGTGGCGCACACTTTTAATCCCAGCACTTGGGAGGCAGTAGCAGGTGGATCTCTGTGAGTTCAAGGCCGCCTGATCTACATAGTGAGTTCTGGGACAGCCAGAGCAACAATAGAGAAACCCTGTCTCAAACGAACAAAAAACAAACAACAAGACAAATACCCTCAAAGACAACAAATAACCTCATGAAGCTTGATGAATCTGCCCATGCCCTTGGTTTGCTAGAAAATGGTAGGGATCAATAACTTTTAATAACCCCTCTCTAGTCTTAAAGATCCTAAGTAACAGCAAAGAATCAGTGAGTAAGTAAATACAGACCATGACAAGAAAAAAGTGAAGGAAGACTTTCCCAGGTCAAAAAGACAACAATGACAGGGATCCTGAGGATGAAAGACGGGCTCTACTCTGAGGAACACCACCACCTACCTTGGCGAAATGTTGACTTCGAGGACCCAGGGTTTTAGGTTCTCATCAAGCATGATGTCAAAACCAAAGAGTTCATGACAGCTGTAAGGGCGCCGCACATACAACTTCAGTAGGTTGGTCACGTAGGGCTCTGACCTGACAGTGGGATATCTAGAATTAGGAGGGCAGAAGCAACTTTCTCTTTAAAAGTGCCTCCTCAGAGTCAGCATGGGAATACATGCATGCAATCCCCATGTAAAAAACAGAGGAAAGTAGAAGCAGGGAAGTTAGAGGTTCAAGGCCAACCTTGGCAACATCAGACCATCTCACGATGGTCAATATCACGAACACCATCCCTCCCCACCCCGAAACAGTGGCTCTTAAGGGATGTGCCTGATCTGGGCCATCACCTTGATGAAGTTTGGTAAAATGAGCAGTGTGGTGGTTTGAATGAGAACAGTTTTCCATAGGCTCATATATTTGAACAGCTGGTTCCCAGTTGGTTAACTGTTAGGGAAAGATGCCTTGTTGGAGAAGGTGTGTCACTTGTGGTGGGCTTTGAGGTTTCAAAAGTCCAAGTCATTCCCAGTTCTCTCTGCCTTGTGCTAGCTCCCTGGAATCCTAGATCCCAAATTAAATGCTTCTATAAATTGCCTTGGCCAAGGTGTTTATCACAGCAACAGAAGAGAGACTAAGACAGCAGAATTTAACTCTGCTTCTTCCTATCTCCTATCCTCCAAACTGAAACAGAAAATGGGCACATCTTAGAGCACAGGAAAGAGGCAAAGAGAAAACATGAGGGTTCATGGCACACCCAACAGCAAAGTAGCACTGAAACTCACGAGATGATGGTTTTGACAACAACATCCTTTATCTTCTCCCAGATGGCATCACTATTAATTCCCTTCTGGCTCAGATAATTCCACAAAGCTTTCAGTGCCCTGAAGGGGAGAAGGAAGTATTTGGGGTTATGTCCTAGAAATGAGTGACAAGAGAAAAAATAAGGAGTAAGAAGCTAAAGATACCTTCTTTGTATCTCCCCAATGATATTTTTAAATAAGAAAGAGATGCATCTACATGCAAACAAACCAATTCTGAAGTGACAAGTCACTATACTCCTCAACTACAGACCCAAACCTCCCAAAGGCAAAGCCCTACCTAGGTTCAAGACAGAGTTTTGATAGAGACACACTGCCCTCAGTACCATTTGTGGCCCTGGCAGGCTGTCTCATCAGCATTGGCCTGGTATTCCGCATTCTTTTTATTGACACTGTAGTTGGTCAGGTGCATGAACTTGTTGCTAAGACTCTTCATGGAAGGGGAATACCTGGAAGTGAGAAGAATGGCAGAGGCAAGATGGTAAGAGCAGATGGAAACCAGGCAGCTATATCCCCAGGAAGGAGATAAAGGACAAGTGCACAGATTTGTTCTGCTCCTGAGGTCTAGAACAGCACAGCTAATCTACTTGGTAACCTCAGTACGTCAGGTACTCTTTCCTCATTTCCCACCCTCCCACCTTCCTTACTAATGAAAACCACCAAGATATCTGTGCCTTTTCTGCTCAGAGTCCTCATACCAACCAAAGAAAGAAAATCATCCAGTGTCAGGGGGAATGCCTCACCACCAGCACATACTTGCAACTGGCAAAGCGGACGAGTCCATCCGAAAAGAGGTAAATCCGTAGAGGATCATAAGAAGTAACGTAAACATAGATCCGAAGATCAAATTTGCTGCCACTAATGAGGTAGGGCTTGTGTAGATACCTGCAGAGAGGAAAGGCTAACTTTACACCCAGCCAGATGAATGAGCAAGCTGTGGTGAAAACTCTCAGCAGTTGACTAAGGAAGGTCTTTGGCTGGGAGGTCACAAGGAAAAACACTCTAAGGTAATTCAGAAACCAAGAAGACAGGAAGATGGAGAGAGGAGTGTGAGCTACACAGGCTCACCTCTGTACCAGGAGGGGCCTGCGCTTGGGGAGCTGACTCCATTTGTGAATGACCTGAATGCCAATGCCTCGAGCAGATGCTGGCTAGAAGTCAAAGGGGAAGGAAATGAGATTCGCTGTTTTCCCACCTTTGTCCCGTCATCCACTTCTCCCTTTGCCCCACTCACTGGCTTTACAATCCACTTCTGGCGGCTGCTGCTCTCCCATGCTTTGCGCAGGAGCTTGGCATCCTGGGGCAGGATAAAGGACTGGGGGAAAAAACTGAACTCTTTCTTGCCAAAACGGCTCTGCATGCGAGACAGGTTCCGCCACAGCCGGTCCTTCCTCCCAATCTGGAAGGAGCCTGGAAAGTGGTTTAGCTACAGAAGGGACAAGAGGCAAGCAGAGGGAAAGGGCAGAGGTGAGACCAAGAGAAACAAGATAAGCCCCATCCCATCATTCCAACATTCCCTGCAAAACAAAATTCACGTTCCTTTCTAGCTTTTCTTCTGCCATCTAGACACAAACTAGAGTCACCTGAGAAGAGTGAACTAATTAAAGAATTGCCTGCACCCGACTAGCCTGTGCAGTTTCTTGATTAACTACTGATGTGAGGCTCACCTTGGGCAGGGCTATCCCTCAGTAAGTGGTTCTGGGTTATATGAGAAAGCAAGCTGAGCAAACCCTGGAGAATGAGCAAGGCTTCTCCAGAGTCTCTGCTCAGTTCCTGCCTCAGCTTCCCTCAGTGATGGACTGTAAGCTGTAAGCCAAAGTAACCCTTGCCTCCCCAGATTGCTTTTGGCCAGTCTTCACCAGTGAGAGAGGCAGACTAGGACAGTCATGACAGTCACCTTGAGTACAATAGGAAAGCTATCACCATTTTCTCGTGACAGCATGTGAGACAAGGAGAGGAAAGCACCAGGCCATGGGGAGTCTAGGGGCACAGTGTTCCAACAGAACCACAGAATCCTCTCTACATAAATGTAGTTTGCAGAGAAGAAGCAGTTAGCGGTGGTAACGGGAAACTTATCAACTAAAAACAGACAAGGCCTCTCAAGACATGGAGTGAAAAGCACCTGGGCAGCAACAGGACTGGGGTGGGAGACACTTTGTTGAGACCCACACTGTGCTCTCTAGAACACTCCTCTGTAACTGTCCTCACCTGAATGCCCTTCCAACACTCCCTCCACTGCCCCAACAACACTCTCATCCTGGCCTGGTCAGTGGGACAAACAACTTGGAAAGGACCCACCTTCTGATGCTCTTTAATGGATCGAAAACCAGGAGACTTCATGTGGTGACCCCAGCAGCCCAGCCAGTCATCATTCCCTGCAGAAAGCAATCAGGAAGTCAGTCTCACTTAACAGCTCAGGCAGACTCTGGGACGGAACAAGGCCTCACCACTGAACTCAGAGTTACCATGGAGCTGCCCTACATGAGGCTTCAGGACCAGAGCCAAAACAATGATCTCCTGCCTCCCAATTCTGAACAACTGGCTCAGCCCAGAGGACTTTCAGAGCTAGGAGGTTGGAAGCTCCAAGACAGGGTCCCCACATACAACAGGGGGTCTCTAAGGCTCTCCTCCTGTCCAAAACCCATCTGGCAGGGCACACAGTTCAGAGGAACTCACTCTTACTGATCTTGAAGTGTGACCGTCCAATGGTCTGCTTGACAATGTTAGGAGTCACTGTGCTCATCTTCCACCGGAGCAGCTTCCTCTGTTCCCAGGGAAGTTTCTCCACTGGGGAAAGGCAAGGGCAGAGGGTCATAGTGAGGCGATGAAAAAGACGGCGGTGGTGCCCATTCTTTCCTAGACAGACAAATCACTACAAATTGCTTCAGATCAGGTTTAGAGAACTGCCCTTTATGGAAAGGGGGCTGTGCAGGAGTGAAGAGCAAAGCAAAGGCTGAAGCAGAAAAAAACCAAATAGAGGCCATGTGCTAAGCCAGAGATTATGAGACTGAGAAAGGTCAAAGGACAGACAAGTAAAGTTCACAATAGAACCTACATCCTGTGGAAACCGAGCACAAAAAAAGCCATTCTGGAAGAGCTCTCCCATCTTGTCCCCTCCACCCAGGTTAGCTGGTATCCTCTTGTGAGTTCCTCTGGACTGTGTCCCTTGGTTACAATTACCTCTTTCATCCCGAGTTCCAAAGTAGATGGTAGGGGACACATTGGGGAAGAGACTGTAGATGAGGGCTGGCCGCACAACCTTCTCATGATTGGAAAGGGATTTGGACATTAAATCCACACAGCTCCTGTGATGAGGAACAAACAGAATGAGAAAGGGACAGCTCTGAGGTTTTAACAGGATTGCATGTGATTCTGAAAAGACAAGTGTTTGACAGTCATGCTGCAAGCATGAACTCATACAGTGCTAGAGCTAATCTACCTATAGATTTGTATATCATTAAAAGCTACCATCAAGAGTCAAAGAGCCCAACGCCCTGATAGCACATCTCCAATATCCTGTGATAAACTTCCCCACCATGGTCAGGGAAGACCCAGAAAGGGTTCTGGAAGAGGAAGTGGACACTAGAAGACTGCTATACTACAACAAAGAGAGGAGGAGAAAAAGGACGGCAGGGGAACTGAAAGGAAGACACAGAAATGTTTTTGTTTCTGTTTTGTGTTTTGGTTTCTTCAAGACAGGGTTGTTCTATGTAGCTTTGGCAGTCATGGAACTTGCTCTGTAGACAAAGCTGGCCTCAAACTGATAAAGATCCATCTGCCTCTGCTTCCCAAGTGCTGGGATTAAAGGTGTGCACTGCCACCACTCAGCCCATAATATTTTAAGTGAGAAAAGAGCAAAAGAAAGAAAAGCAACAGTGAAACTTCTGACCTGTTCTATGCTTTAGTTCATGTGATGACAGACAGCCCACAAATGAAAACACAGCCACTCTTGTATGTGAAAAGGTAGGACTCATTACGTCTATGCATCTTTCTCTTACGGCAAATGGAGGTACTTAATTGGTATCCAGTATCTGCAACCAGAACCAGCTTCACTTTTATAAAACCAAGATAGGGTGGGCTTAAAAAGACAAATTATGCAACAGACTGGGAACATATTCCAGGATTTCTGTTCCCATCATAGAAAGATTTATTTCTTTTGTTTTCCAGATACCTCTGCCTTCATCTTCCTGGCTTGATATTTTAGAGTCAATAAAGCTGCTGCCACACCATCATATTTACAGACATGGGCAGCTTTGTTCATGCTAACCCAGACACAGAGGGTCTTCTCAGCTACAGGTAAAGCAGAGCAGACACACAGAAAGTAGCCAGTGTCAAAGTATGCTGGCAAGCCTCGATAAACAAGGCTAGATTTTAATTAAAAATGAGAACAGATATTTTTGCATTAAACACAAAATTCGAATTTTTTGTTCATTGAGTTTATTTTACTTTTCTAATTTTTTAAAAATATTTTTATGGTTTATTTAACTTTATGTGCATTGGTGTGAAGGTGTCAGATCCTCTGCAACTGGATCTTCAGACAGTTGTGAGCTGCCATGTGGGTGCTGGGAATTGAACCCGGGTCCTCTGGAAGAGCAGTCCGTGATCTTAACCACTGAGCCATCTCTCCAGCCCCTACTTTTCTAATTTTTTACATTTACTATGGTGTGTGTGTGTGTGTGTATGTGTGTGTGTGTATACATGATTGCCAGTGTCATTCACATCAGGGGGACAGTTGAGGGAGTTGCTTCTCTCTTTCATGTGAATTCTGGGGCTTGAACTCAGTCATCAGGTGTAGTAGCAAGTGCCTTTACAAGCTGAGCCCCCTTGTTACCCTTAATTTTCCATTCCTTTGTATTTTTAGAACAGAAAAACCTTCAATATTCAATAATTCAGGAGTTCTTTTTATTTTTTAAACAAATAATAAAGAGTTTAGTTAATTAATGAAGACAAAGCCTAATTCTGAGACAAGGTTGGAAGGGAAACAAAAAAGATTATGATGGAGGATGAGATTTATTCTGTTTTTTGTTTGGTTGGGTTTTTTTGTTTTTGTTTTTTGTTGTTGTTGTTGTTTTCGAGACAGGGTTCTGGCCTGGAACTAGCTCTTGTAGACCAGGCTGGCCTCGAACTCACAGAGATCCACCTGCCTCTGCCTCCCAAGTGCTAGGATTAAAGGCGTTTGTCACCACCATCCGGCTTTATTCTTTATTTTTTGGGCTAGTATTTTGTATAGGCTGGCCTCAAATTTACAGTATTTATCCAGCATCAAATTCTGGAGTACTGAGACTAATGCCATGGCACCTAGAACCAAAAGAGTCTCATTTGGGGCTAGAGAAATGGTTTCAGCTTTGCAATAGATCTGAGTTCAATTCTAGCATCCATATCAGGCAACTCATAACTGTTTATAGCCTGATCTCCAGGTAATATAACACCTTCATCGGGACTCTAAAGCCACCTGCACTGACTTACACTAAGCAAGTCAGGAGGAAGGAGCCAGGTAAGACATGTTCCTCCAAGGCTTCTGTTTAAGTTTGTGCCTTGAGCTCCTGTTTTGACTTCCCTTCATGATGGACTGTGATATATAATTGTGAACTGACATGACGTAAATCCCTTTCTCCCCAAGTGACCTAACAAGTGCCTTTTTGCTTTAGTTTTAATTTTTATAACTTATTTACTTGTGTATGTGTGTGCACATGTGTATGTGAATGTGCTGAGGGGTGCACACATGCTACAGTGTATATATAGATAACAGAAGACAACTTTTTTTAAAAAAAATTTATCTATTGGGGGCTGGAGAGATGGCTCAGAGGTTAGGAGCGCTGCCTGCTCTTCCAGAGGTCCTGAGTTCAATTCCCAGCAACCACATGGTGGCTCACAACCATCTATAATGAGATCTGGTGCCCTCTTCTGGTCTGATGGCATACATGCAGACAGAACACTGTATACATAATAAATAAATCTTAAAAAAAAGATTTATCTATCTATCTACTTATTTATTTATTTATTTATTAAGTATGCAGCATTCTGTCTGCATGGATGTCTGCAGGTCAGAAAAGGGCACAAGATCTCATTACAGATGGTTGTGAGCCACCATGTGGTTGCTGGGAATTGAACTCAGGACCTTTGGAAGAGCAGGCAATGCTCTTAACCTCTGAGCCATCTCTCCAGCCCCAGAAGACAACTTTTGGGGGAGGAGATTGGTCCGCTTCTCCCAGCATGTGGGTTCCAGGGATTAAACTCCAGTTCAGGCTTGGAAGCAAGCACTTTTACATTCTGTTTGGTCTAAATGTGTTTTAAATAAGAGTCCTTAAACAAGTTCTAAAAGCCTTTTACAGAATAACATGCTTTAAAAAAAAAATGCTTCCAGTATCTCTTGACATAGCATTCCAAAAGTATTTGTTCTACAAAGGACTTAAATAAATGGAAAGGCATAATGGTGTACATTACTGATCAAAGCACTCAGGCAGGTCTCTGAGTATATAGCTAAGACCAGCCTTATCTATACAGGGAGGTCTATGACAGCCAGGGCTATGTAGAGACCCTGTCTCAAAAAAAAAAAAAATCAAAACAAACACTTCTTAAACTACAGTTACATATAAAAACAAATAAGAAACTTGATGAGAATGAATTAGGGTTCTCAGGGCCAGTTAGGATAATGTCATTACAACCTTCAAGCATCTGCCAATGATCTGCATAGCACTCACCGAGATATTATTGCCACCGACTCACTGGGGGAGACGATACTTAAGGAAGAGCACTCTGAGTCTCCTGTAGAAGAAGAACAGAGAAATCCTCACTAGAAGATGGTGCTGCATGTGTACCCTCACCAAGCCCAGGCAACTATGTCTGTAACATCCTGGGTTCTGCAATGAGCACCACCTCTGCTCTGCAATGCATTCCTCGAACTTTGCAGGAGAGGAGGCAAGAGCAGTGGGACAGAGGGGCTAGGGACCAAAGCCCCTCACAAACTCCTAAGTTAGGCCCCCACAGCAGTGACTGCTGCAGGATGTGAGTCAAGCCTGGCACACACTGTTATCCCCCTTCCCTAGTGGATGGTGACTAAACCCCACAGTTAGAGGCAAAAGGATTCCTTACCCTCCTCTTCTTCATTTTCATCATGGCTGCAGCTATCTTCCAAATCTAGTTCATCTTCTGTATCTTCAGGCTCCACCTGGTTTGGCCGGAGGTCAGTAGCTGAACTGAAAGAAAAGAGTCATGCCTCCACCCAAGCCAGCTCCATAAAAGAAGCCACATTGGAGTCTCATTCCTTCACTGTTTCCCAGCAACAAGCAACAGTCTCCTCATCACTATCTGTTATCTCTTGTCTGGACCACATAAACTATTTCTCATGTCCTCAGAATTTAGGTCCAGCCACAGTTCCTCAGCTTTACATTCCTTATCTGCACATCATTTTCTCTGAAGTCTGCTTACAGTATGTAAGTTTAAAATTCTGCATACAAAAAGCATCAGTAAGTATCTGGTAATTTAATGTCCTTGGGATGTTCACTGGGAACTCAGACGGCCTTGGTGGATCGAGGTTCTGGAACAGTAATAAGACACAAGAGAAGGAATCAACTATGTCTGTCTTCAACTCTGAATGGCTGTCATACCAGGAATGCATGAGAATGCAATCTAGTTTGTAGTAAGTTGAAAAGTCATAGACCCTAAGATGTGGTGTCTGGAATTCTTACTTCTCCCCTGGTAATAACCTAAAACAGAGATGGGCAAATTCTCCAAAGGAACTATCAGTAAATATGTTCAGTTTTATACGTCGTTCCATCAGAACTTTCCAACTCTACTGTTGTAGCAAGAAAGCAGTTAAAGACAACAGTAAAAAAAAAAAAAAGGACAAAGTTGCATCCAATAAAACTTTATTTGTAAAAGCAAGGTTTAGTCTACAGGTTAGTTTTCTTTCCCCACCTTAAAATGAATCCCTACGTTAGAGTGAAAACTAAAACTTGTAGGACAGCTAAAAAATAAAGCCAACTATTAGAGATAGAAAGCAGCAGTGTGCCCAGATTATGGTGTAACTACTGTTCTGTTCTAAAGGAACCAAAGACAGGGTGCAACTTACTGGCTATCCGTAGCACATGAGCTCAGCTCCTTGGCTTCTTCAGATTCCTTCCCAGGCTGGCCAAGATGGACAGAAGAAAGGCGAGTGGCCACTTCAGCTACACCTAGAGGCTGGAGGGAAGAAGGGGGAACAGGAGCTCGGTCTTCTCCAAGTAATTGGGGGTCAATTACAGACCCACAGGTAGGGCTGGGGTTGAGCCCATGGACATGCGAGGCAAGGAGGTGAATGCTGATCCTTTTGGTACAAAAGACTGTACTGTCCAACCCCAAGGTGTCTGAGGCACCAGGAAGGATCCCACTGTCTAATCCAATGTCCTCCTGAGGAAACCGCTGGCCCATCAGAGGTTTCCACCGCCTGCTTCTATTGAGAAGACCCCACTGGAAGCTGGGGTTCACAAAACAAGCCTGTTCAAACTGGTAGCCTTGCCGTGGCATCTTCTCAAAGCCTTTTGCAGTCAACTTCCTCACAGCCTCAGTGAAGTGTACCTCTTTAGCAGCGCTCTGGGAATCCGAGTTCTCATCCAGGTCACAGGGATGTGCCTCCATCCTAAAGTTACTCTGACTGCACTGGGAAGAGGTAACACTGGCTGTGGATATGTTGAGTGTACTAGGGGTAGATAGGGTGGTAGAGGCAGTGGCATCATCTAAGACAGTGCCAATGCTTTGGGGCCCCTTATGGTCACCAGGCTGGGGTACACAGTCTCCAGTACCCCCTGAATGATGCCAGGAGACAGGTTGGATCTTGGGTGAGGATACTGGCTTCAGGCCATCTGTGGCTTGTGATAAGGGCACTTTAGTGCTATTTGGCCTCATGAAGGAGTTGTTGTTCAGCATGGGCTTGTAGGACAGTGGAGGAGATGCAATCTTCCCTGAGATAGCTGAGGAAAAGCTCTTCCTTGAAGGATTTTCCCCAGCGGCTGCCAGTGAGAGGTATGGATCAGTGGGTGAAGACGCCATGGGCTGGGCCATGGGGAAGACTGTAGAAGATGTGGCTTTATTGGCAGTGACACTGACAGGGAGACCCTTTTGGGGGAGAGAAAATGACCTTTTCTCTGATGGGCTGGAACGCACGCAGAAAGATTCCAGTTGCTGGTACGGTTTCTGCCTCACGTTGGTGCGGCGGTACAGCAGAGTATTGCTGAACAAGTCAGGGAGAGACTGCAGGCAACAGGGACTGCTGTGGCCTGCAATGACAGCTGTGGTTCCAGAGCTACATAAAGTGCTAGGGCAAAAGAAATAGGCTGGCTGGGGTGGGACTCCCAAGAAACTGGTGCCCAGCCCTGCTGACAGCGTGCCTACGTGCTTCCTTTCCAGCTTCCAGATTGGCTTCACCTGCTGATGGGCCTGAGACCAGACTTTGACCTCTGAGGGTTTCTCAGGTGGTGAAGCAGACACTGTGCCTGAGGGACGTCTCTGCTTGAAGCTGTTTCCTCGGCGCAGGCCAATATGGTAGTGTTCTGTTCCTGCTGAGGCCATGAGGGGCCCACATCATGGCAACATGGCCTCATGGCCTGGCTCAGGTAAGCTGCCACACACCTCTAGCACCAGCTGCATCCTTGTATCCGTCAGCCTGCGGGGAGAAAAATGATTGGAAATGCTGCCAGCTTGTAAGGATAGGTGCTATACTATGTAAGTAATAGGATCTTGCTTCCGTTTTAGTGACCAGTCTTAGTCATCATTTGGGGCCCTGAGAGAAGAACACATTTCCAGGGAGCTTGCAGAGGCCTTTCTGAGGCCTTCGTAGGATCAAATCTGGCTTTCTCAAGGATTAAGACTTTAAGGGTCTGCCAGTGCGAGGCTGCTCATGTATCCACATTCTCAGAAAGCTTGCCTCTCTCCAAAGAGAAGTAGTTGTTGAGTAGATATGATCAAGAGACACACACATATAAATATGGAACTGTCAAAGAAAAAAGTTGAAGCATGTTATTTTTTGTTTAAAAGCATCCTGGACTGCGGCTGAATGGCTGCCTTCTCTACCTAATATGGCAGGTCTGAAAGTGGCAAAGGTCAGACTGCACCCCCTCTCAACTCACTCAGAAAGCATTTGCTCTATTGTTCTTGCTCCACCTCAACATTTTTTAATCCTTAAAAAAAAAAAAACAAAAACAAAGCAACAAACAAACAAAAACCAAAACAAGGCAAATTGAGAAAGAAACAAAAAATTTCCCAGCTCACTCTGAAATCTGAGCAGAGACAGCAATTTCATCTCTTCAAGAATCTTGTCAACCATTCAGGCTAAAATTCCAACCTACATATTGAAAACACGGAAGCTGAAACGAAACCCCAACACTATCTTTATCCTCAGCAGCCATAATGGAACAGAGGACTGAGAAAGCAGCAGAGGGGGGCAGGAGAGACTTCCATTCCAGGACCCAGACTGCAGTTTGGCTGCTCTCTGGGGTGGAGAACTTGTCTTGTAAGTCTTCTCTTCCAAATTTTTCTATAAAGCAGTATGTGCCTCGTCTTGTCTCACAATTTCTTCAGCATGCTCACTGTCTAAATAGAACTCACAAATCACTCTAATTTTTGTAGCTGTGGGAAAAGATGGATCTGCCTACATGACTACACCCAGAGGGAAATAACACCTATCTATGCACCTCAGAAAATGACATCCTGATACCCCTATCAAGAGAGCTAGAGAGAAGGAATTAGCAGGGAGAATTTTGTTCAAGTTGCATTTATGATATAAAAATAGGAAGAGATTTTACATTTTGATCAGAGTATTGTCCAAGACCCCCGTCTACAATTATCAGAGGGAAGGTGCCAAAGAACCTGACGAAGTCATGCAGCATTGCCCTCCTTTCCTACAAATGCTGACCTACAGGGTTTTTGTATCCTTTTCAAGAATACAAAAACATAACAACATAACAAAACAATAATGAGCTAAAAACAGTTTAAGTGCTATAAACAGTATTGAGGTCAGTATCCTCAAAAAGAAGAGACAAAATTCCACTCAAGACCAAACGGCAGAAATCACGTTTAAGAGACAATTACTCTGTACAGGTTCAATAAAGACTAACACTGAAAGAGCCAAGCCCATGGCCAGGCGGTGGTGGCGCACGCCTTTAATCCCAGCTCTCGGGAGGCAGAGGCAGGCGGATCTCTGTGAGTTTGAGGCCAGCCTGGTCTACAAGAGCTAGTTCCAGGACAGGCTCCAAAGCAACAGAAAAACTCTGTCTCGAAAAAACCAAAGAGTCAAGCCCTACCAATGACTTTGTAAAATATAGCACATGTGTATGTATAAAAGAGTGCTGGGTATACTCAAAACTCATAACTCAGCTCAGTCCTCTTCAGGAAGCCACATCTTGCCCTACCAATGCAACACAACAGATACCCCAAAGCAATAGAACAAAAGAGCTAAGGAAATAAAGCCAGAGATCCCTTGAAAAGCAATTCCACTAATGGTTCCCTATCCACTTCCATGCTTTTGTAAGTTCTGGTCCAAGCCTTCATAGGTGAAGTGTCTAAACGCATGCCATAGATTTCTCACCTAGATCAGAGACAGTCCCACTTTTCCCCACTGCATAATACCTCAGAACTAGACAACCCAAAGAAGAGATCCTTCCTTCTGCACATACTACTCACATTTTCTTCTCCGCAGCCCACCAGGTATTCCTCTGTGTCATGACACACAGACACCAACTAGTTTGATCTTTGTTTTTTGACAGGGTCTTACTATACAGTTTTGATGAGCCTAAAACTCAATAATATAAACCAGGATAACTTCCAGCTCACAGATTTTTGCTTGCCTCTGCTTCCCAAGATCTGGAATTAAAGGCATGTGCCACTACAATTGACTGGCTTGCCTTTTAATACAACTAAGGAAGAAAGAGTCTAAAGATTAAAATCCCATCCTCTTCAAAGGCTAAAGGCAGTTTGCTCCCATATGATGTCAAGCTGGCAAGTTGAATTAGCTCCAACGAAGGTGAATTCTTTTCTCACTGATGAGATACTCATGTCTCTGAGACAATCATTTCCACTCCTCTGTTCTCTTGTAAGTCCCATGGTGTGTAGGGTAACAAACTAGAGGAAGGCCTTTGTCTTTAACAAGAGTGTCTGTATGTAAGGTCCAGGGAGGTAAGATGGTTTCTTTAACTACGACAAAGAGTTCCACAGCTCATAACAGACATCCAGGGTTGGCTAGCATGGCGGTGTCAAGCAAAGACAAACCTGTGTCATATACTCTGTTGACAGTGGCTCCAAGAACACAAAGTGAACAATACCACTCCACAACAGAACTGCATAGAGGTGCCTCAACTCTGTTTTAGTGCAGAAGTAGTTTCTGGTTCAAACAAGGAAATGATGTTTGCTAAAAGCAACTTCTTTTTCTTTGTGGAAATCCCTAATGAAATCAAAGCTCAGTGTCCTGGGAAGCAGAGATTTAGTGACTATTCAAGTAGCCTGTGACCTTACCACTGCCACAGGTCACAGTTACCTGTGTGATGCCCAGTGCCTACAGCAATGTGAGTGTGAAGCTTAAAAAAGGTTTGAAAGGGTTCAAATTCTAAGAATTTGAGGAAATAAGCTAACACTAAGAATGGTGAGTTCTCATAGGCATAGTGGCTCAAGTCTTTAATCCCAGCAATGGGGGTGTGCGGGAGGCAGAGGCAGGCTTGAGGTCAGCCTGGTCTATAGAGTGAGTTCTAGGACAGCCAGGGCTACACAGGGAAACTGTCTCCAAACGAAACAGAACGAGAAAAAGTGCTGAGCTCTACTATCAAGTCAAAGTCACAGAGGCAAATACTGCCTGGCACCCAGATACCCTCACAAGGCAGCTTCCTGCTGGGTCAAGCCCATCCCCTTAAGTTTTCTCTTTATTTCACACACAAGCTTTTTCCCAGCGCCCCCCCCCCTTAAATTCGTAAGTGTATGCCTTTAGGATCCAAGGAACAGATTGCCCTTCTCCCAAGCAAAACGTTAGGATGAGTCAGCTGGGGAAAGAGAACAGGGAGAAAAGATATTAACTAGTATATGTGGAAGGCCATGCACAGACCATTGGTTTGGTAGAAGTCTTTCTTCACAAATACCCAAGTTGGCCAGGCGTGTTAGTGCACGCCTTTAATCCCTGCATTCAGGAAGCAGGTGGCTCTCTATGAGTTCAAGGCTAGACTGGTCTACACAGTGAGTTCTAGGCCAGTAAGATCCTGTCTGAGAGCAAACAAAGACAAATACCCATTTTAGCCAGTCATGGTGGCACATGTCTTTAATCCCAGCTTTCGGGAAGCAGAGCCAAGTGGAGCTCTGTAAATTCCAGGCCAGCCTGGTCTACATACTGAGTTCCAAGTCAACTGGCACTACATAGTGGGACCCTCTCTCGAGATAAAGAAAGAAAACCAAAATCCCCACAACTTAGCATGCAAACGGTGTGCATATAAACATATACTGTAAGATTTTAGACAATTCTGAAGCCATTTCTGACAATTCCAAACCCTCTCAGCCTCTGTGCCTCAGTGCTTCCCCTCCTCCCCTGGGAACCAAGGACCTAACAGCTACACATGCACGTACTCAGTTCCTGAACAATTACCCATACACGTATGTTTTGACTCAGTCCTCTGGGAAACGGGGTCAAAATGACCTCTTACTTCATCTGATCTGGCAATAGTTCTCCAGTCAATTATTGGTTTTAGCCCTTTTCAAATAAGCCAATCATAATGGTCAAGGAACAATCCCTCTTGTTTCTATGGGGCCTTCTCCTTTAAAAGTAGACTGTACCAGCTATTAGAGGTCTCTCGGCTTCCCGAATGCTGAGGGACCCTGTCATGACAGAATTAATAAAATCCTCATGCTTTTGCATCGGCTGTGGTATGTGAGGTGGTCTCTGGGGCGACTCCTTCTCGGGTTGGACACTAGAGTCCAACAATACATGTAAACAAAGTCATATACATAAAACAAAAATATTTAAAAGTAGTCAACTTAAATCAAATTTCACCAAAGCAATTGATTAATTAAGCAAATTAAAATAAAATTTTCTGAGGGTGGAGAGGCGGTTCAGTGGTTAAAATGTACTGGTTTGCTCTTCCAGAGGACCAAGGTTCAATTCCCAATACCCAAACGGCAGCTCACAACCATCGGTAACTCCAGTTCCAGGGGATCTGTTGCCTTCTGGTTCCACAGGTGCCAGGCACATATGGAAAAACATGTAGGCAAAACAGCCATACACATAAAATAAAATTTTTAAAAGATAATTTTCCACAAACTCTATTATTTAATTTATATACTTAAAACACACATACCTTAAAGAAAGCAAAGGCATTTGTACTTATTGTCTCTGCCAATAACAAAATGACCCAGCACTTCCTGAACCTTCAAAGAACTTAGAGAGCCAACAAACTGAACACACCTGGAAAACAGCAGTTTGAATAATCTAATGTCTTACCGAGTCAGTGAAATTATATGATTCCTGTCCCTATATATTATCCCCGAGGAACAAGGAGATCTAAGAGGAATAGGGTGTACTCACTAAGCTACTGCCTGTAGAGTTCAGGATTAAAAGAATACAAGGCTAAGTTCCACCATTTAGGCCTAAACAGGAAACTGCCCAGCAGAAAGGAAAGTAAAAGTTAATTAAGA